CTCCCGTCGACGCTCACGCGTCGGCTCTGCGGACTGAGACTATTTTTGTCTCAGTGCTTCCGTCCGCTGGTGATCTTGTTGTTGTAACAAGGTCACCTGCGCTCGCGACTCACCAAGTTCTCGTTGCAAGAACTTGCTAATGACGACATGTTGCTGGTCCATATCCCTTGAGGATAGCATGGCCCATATGACTGCCTCGCCAACGGTCGAACTCATTCGTTCGATCGCACTCCATTCGATGTCGCTCAAATGGGAGTAGCTTTCACGGGTTCCGTGAAAGCTGTCGCCGTCTACATCGTCCAATATGTTCATGTTGGGCGATGGGGTTGTGGTCCTTGGACGGACTACAAAGTGCTACCAGGTGTAACGGGTCACTGTCGACTACGTACTGGTTGACCAGTACGGAGTATACTTCCACTGACAACAGTGGTCGACAGTGCCCTGCTAGGTGTTGAAGGAACACAGAGGAAGGAAGGAGACTATGTAGTCAGACTAGTCTCTGGTAAAAGTAAAACTGTATTAATATAATCAAGTCCTATAACTTCTTGAATCTCTGTTGTCCTGACTTAATTATACGAATGTAACTAAATGTATGATGACGTCTACTCACCACCCATTGCGCGCGTCCAGCAGCGATTGGTGGGTTGATATCATCACGATATCAACCAATGAGTAGACCATTCGGTCATCTCAACAATTTCACCATGTCCGTGATATTGTTAAAAGAATATTCGACGTAATATTCTTTATTGTCAAATTGTTCTTAATGACAATTTCATGTAACGGGCTACCCCGTTTCACGAAGGCAGTGCTATACTGCTATCACATTCCAGGGGTACGATCGACTGAGGTTGCCCCCCCTCCCGATGGTGACCGCTGTGTATCCGTCGTTCGAAAGATGCTGGCTGACGCCAGTGAGTACCTTTTTTGTTTATACTCCCCTACGTATTCACTGGAGATTGAAGAGTGCCAGATGTAAACAAAAGCACTTGAGCTGTCATAGAACTTGAGCATTCCGGTACCCAGCTCCATTTATGTGGAAGAAGTGGCCTTGTAAGTTATTCCGTAGCTTGTTTTTTATCGCCGAGCCAAAACGGTTGCTTGCGATACAAATCTCTCGACCGCTTGAAATAATGACAATTTCATCGACACGTCGATGGTCCGTGTGGGAACAGAGACGAGAAGTGGCGGACGTCGCTTACTTGTGTCGTCAAGTACCGCTTGTTGGACTCGTATGCGAATTCTTCGAGCACCGAACGAAACTGTGTAACCGAAACTGTCGGCTGAACGACAAAGCTATCGGCCGGAAGAGCGGAGACCTATCGACTGCTGCAAGTGGCGCATGCTTTTCTTCTTGGCGCGTCTGACATTTCCTTCGGGTGGCTATGGCCACTGGAGGCCGACCGCTCCTGATTCAGCTCATCCGTTCATGTCAAACTGCCTCTGCTCATTGAGCGTACCACCAGTTACACTCCCACGAGTGTCTAGACTTCCCTCGCACTCCTGTCCGACCCATCCGTAACCAGTCGTGGACCGAGACCGCTGAAGCCAGAACCAGCACCAGGATGGGCTCGGAAAAAGGCTTTGAGCGAGTGGCGCGTTGACGGCACTTCACATAGCGAGTACAAGTGGACATTCGTTCGTCATCAACCGCGTCAACGACCACAGAGGCGATCGGTCGGTCAGTCGATCGACCGATCGCGTGCTCGCGGGCAACAACAGTGCGTCTCACACGAGACAGAGGAGGGAGAGCGCAATCGCGAGCTGGTCGATGTCGCTGGCACTGAACGCCCGCCGCGCCTATCCTTTGCGACATCTGCCAGCCGCGAGAAGTGCAAACGTGCTGCTGTGTCCCAGAGAGGTCTTCGTCCGTCGTCGCGGTCGCAAAATTTGGGTTCTTACGCGCGCGACTGTTTGCAGCTGTCGTAGGACGACACACTGTGCACATGTCCATTACGTGCTCAGGAGCGGCCGCCGGCTGCGACGACGCCAACGTTTCTGCCCACAGGTGGACACGGGTCCGTCTGTTCGGGCCAGCGCTCTCTTCTGCAGCGAGTGCGGCCCATTCGTGTCTGGGACGTTCGGGTCCGTCCCTCGCGATCGCAGCAGCGACGACCACCACGAACGCCTCATCTCTCTCTCTCTTTCTCTCTGCCAGAAGCGGTGCGTGCAACCAGCTGCCGAAGTTTGGGTGCACGTCCGTCGTCGAGTCGTTCGGTGTCCGTCCCGCGTTACTGTTTCGCTTGGCACGACGATCTGGTTCTCGTTGTGCCACAAGAGGCCAAGTCCACGACCACCGTCTTGACTGCTGTATGGAGAGAAGAAAGAAGTGCTTGCGCCAGCTGCTGACGCTATCAGCGCGCACATGTCTGCCGATGCCTCGCGCTGTCGTCGCAATGAACCGCACCCAAAGAAAAAGAAGAAGAAGAAGAAGAAGAGGAGGAGGAGAAGACGAGTTCGTTGCATTGCTACGCACATACCACCGAACAAGTGCACAACAAGTGATCGGTCGTGGAGCCGCCAGTTACACCGACAGCAGTCAGCCAATCAGTCCGTCAGTTCGTCCGTCAGTCAGTCGGCATAGCGACCACGTGCCAAATCGTATCCTTTCGTGCGCGTGTCACCGACCGACCGACCGACCGACCGACCGACCGACCACTGCAACCGCACCAGCACCAGCAGCGCTCTTGCCAGTCCACGACGGTCTTTTCTCTTGCCGCATTACTCACGCCGTCCATACTCGTCCGCCCCGGTGCTGTGCGTTCTGACCCGTCTCTGCCTCCCCCTTTCGCCCCCCCGGCAGGCAGCGCCCCACTCCCGTCGTCGCCCCCGTCGACCGTCTGACTCAGAGTCCCATTTGCCCCATCGGCCCGAGACCGACCGACCGACCGACAGTCAGTCAGTCAGACAGACCGACTGCCCCACGAGTCGCACATGGCGTTTGCCGCGTGTCCCGCGCTCGAGACGCTGCGGCCTCTGACGCCCCTGTCGCCCTTTTCTGTCGCTACTACTGCCACTGCCACTGCTACTGCCACTGCGTCTTCGCCCGCCACGCGACGCGTCGCCTCTGCTGCTTCCACTGGCGCGCGCGTGACGGACCGCACGGTCGTCGTCTTCGACTGGGACGACACGCTCTGCCCCAGCTCGTGGCTCCACGCGCAGGACCTGCTGCCCAAGTACCGCGGCCACCGCATCGCCGTGACGCCGGCCCAGCGCCACGTGCTGCGCCTCATTGGGGCCCACGTCGCGCGGCTTTTGCGGAAGGCCGTCGCGTACGGACCGGTGTTTGTCGTGACGGCCGCCGAGTGGGGATGGGTCGAGATGTCGGCCGCGCTCTATCTGCCCGACGTGCAGCGCGTGCTGAGCCTCGCGGACGTGCACATTGTCTCGGCGCGGAGCTGGTACGAACAGACGTTCGGCCTGGGCGGCGACTCGGCGACGTGGAAACAAGAGGTCATGCAGCTCATTGCGCGCCAGTGCTTTGCGGCGGCCGCAACGGCGCACGACACGAGCAGCGGTCGCTCGGAAGCGATAGCTGCACCGACGACAGTGGCACCGGCAGCACCGACGCCGACGACGGCTACGGCTTGTGGCGTGCAAGACGGCTACTTTCACTTCCTCTCAGTGGGGGACTCGATGGCCGAGCGAGACGCGTGTTTCACGGCCGTCGAGAGCGTGTGTCGCACGTTCGCCAAGACGCTCAAGTTCGTCGAGCACCCGAACGCTGAGGAGGTGCTGCAGCAGGTGGAGCTCACGTTCGACTCGTTCGAGCAAATGTGCGGCTGGGAGGACAATCTCGACTTGCGGCTGTCCCGACAACAGCTGGCGGAGCTGCGTGGCTCGCCTATTTAATCATTTCGCAGAGTGCTGGTGGGCGACGTCTTCCTGCGGGGCTGTGCTGCTGCTGGTGCGGCTGCTGCTGCTGGTGGTGGTGGTAGAAGTGGGTAGCGGGTGGTGCGAAAGTCACTACTACTCTGCCACTTGCTCGGAGACGGAGGCTCGACCAGATGTTAGGAACTAGAGGACTTAGAAGTATTGGTAGACTACTGGAAGCGCTGCGCTGGACGACTACGCGCGCAGGTTATCCGAATAATCACACACAAATACACTATTGCTTGCGTTTGTACCGGAGCCTTCTCGTCCAGGTGAGGAGGTCTCGTGGGGTGCGTCCGTCCGTCTCTTGTTCACTTGCTGTGTATGTTATGACAGTCACGGCCAGCACCGATTCGATTGCGAGCAGTTGGCGGTCTATCTGCACCCAGTGTGGACATTGCAATGGAGAAAAAGGATGCGACCGCTGGTGTCCAAAAGCTGCAGTGTCGACTGGTTGAGGTCTTTCAGAAAGAAGTTGTGCCCGTCGGACGAGTGGAGAAACAGGTGTCGTCGTTGGTTGGAGAGGGCATCGAATATTGACGGACCTTACACGTTACACAGACCTTTCGTTGGCGCTCGTCTCGCGATGGATCTAGGAAAGATACGAGCCAACACAGCCATTTTTGGGACGACACGACCCTGTGAGAGAGAGAGAGTGAATGGATGAAAAGACCGAATTTGGTGATGCAATCACGACAAGCAAAGCGCAATGTCGTCTTGGCGAGCGAATGATACTGACACAAAGATCACGTTTTGACCATCGGGTCAGATGTTTGCACCTTTGCGACCGACTGCAGGAGTGAACGTGCGGATTGCTTGGCGCATCATCCGCTCGGATAGTTTCGTAGCAGAAGAGAGGCACGACTGATACTGCTTCAACGTCCTGCAGGTGATAGGGAGGTGGAAGTTCACTTGCTAGCAGAGCGACCAGCCGTCGTGTTTGGGTGTTCGAGCTCTGGTTGTTGCTGGTGTTCCTGATCTACTTTCGTGGAGCGCAGCGTTTCCGACTCTAGTGCACTATCGCACATTCCTGCGTCGACTGCAAGTTACGACCAGATCCTCGGAGGTACACTGCAACAAGACAGAGATCATCAAGTTGACGTATCGTTGTTAAGTCTGCTGTGCTGTCACGAATTCAGATTGATCTCACTCAGCTCGACGTCGTCGTCACTACCATCAGCTTCCAAACTCCTTTGTGTGCTGCCAGTCTCTGCGGAGGAAGTGGTTGACGCAGAAACGGTGGGGGTGTTGTTCGACACGGCAACGCCGGCGAGAGGGGTGTACTGGTTCCTCCACCGTTTTGCCAGGGCAAAGACGACGGCGATGCTGATGGCCACGTTTGCGACCACAACTGCAACCAGCAGCACCGTCATGAACGTACTCCTGCCACCCACGTCTGTCGTCGGGGCCATCGAGTTGTTGCTCGCATCAGGTCCAGCGGTATCATTCGAGCTGCTTAGTTGTGAGATGTTGAAGTGGTCTTCGAGTTGCGCAATGAACTCCAAGATGACGGAGAAATTGGGCGTACCAATTCCCGAAACTGCATCCCATCCAGCAGCAGCGCTAAATGAGTCGTCGCACGGATCAGTTTGTCCACGTGCAGCTCCGTTGTTTCCTACCACCACGTCGTGAAATGCATCGACACGGTGTTCGGCGAGGTAGTAGAGAAGAGGATTGATGAATCCTAGCGGGCTTTTACCAGCATTCAGCCGCGCGTCGTTCCATAGCGTGACCATCGCGCCAATGACAGGTGTTGATGCTGACGTTCCAGATACCGACGTGAGGTGGCCCTTCATGTACACATGGAATCCTGCGCCCAATGCTGACACATCTGGATAGGCCCGTCCACTAGCGTTGAAGAACCCTGGCGAAGCTGGAATGTCTCGAGTCGTCAAGTACCTTTCGACCGCTGTGCGCTGGTAGTCTGGCATTGGATAGATGCTAGAGAACCCGCCACCGGATGTGATGATGCCGCGGTTCTCGGCACTGCAAATCACTTCCTCCTTTGTACGATAAAACGGCGTGAGCGCTTCATTTGCCCCCGTCAAGAGCATTGTGGCACCGACGGTAGTGACGTACGGGCTCGACGACGGCCATTGTGGCCCACTTTGCCCGCACATGTCTTCGATTGGTATCTTCTCGAATTCAGGGCGCAGCCCCGTCACTCCGTCGTCGCCACTGGCGATAAGCACCGTAATCCCACGCAAACCCATCTTGATCAGAAGAATGTCCAACGTGCGCGCGTAACCTGGCGAGACGTCAAAGATGTGCTCTTCGTCATCGGAATAACTGATCGGGATAACGAGAGGCGGGTTGTCGAGCGCCAGCACTTCTTGAGCAAACTCGACGAACGGTTCGTCTTCCGACGAGTACGGGTTACTGCCTTCCATGCTCCACACATACGTCGTGGCGTTACGGCAGACGCCTGTGATGTATTGCACGTCCAGCGATGTCTCCGAGCTTGCTCGTTTAGGCTGGTTCGCACGGTTTCCTTTCTCAATGATACGAGGAACGTCTTCTCCGGGCAAGTACTGATTGAAAAAGATACCCAAGTCCGCCAAATCGTACGACTCGTTGTAAAACGACGGCACGCACTGCGTATTGTTTGGGTTCGTTGCCACGAGGTCATCCGGAATGCCATACGTGCGCCGAACCATTTCCAACGTGCTTTCTTCACGACCGTCCGCCTCATCGACATGAGACGAAGCTGCTGCAAGCGCTCGCAAGCCCAGTGGGTGCGTATTGACGCTCAAAAACGACACAACGCCCTCCAGATGTGCTGGTACAGACACCGCACTCGTTGCTCGCATCAATCGCCGTTGCCTCAACGGCAATGGCGTCTCGGACCTCTTCGCTTCGTAGTGGTAAAGCTCTGTGCTCAGTAGCCGTTCCACGTGCTTTACCTTCATCGGGACCTTGTACAGGTTCGACGTGGGCAGAAACGTGCCTCCGTTCTCCCCGTGCGAAAAAGCTGATACCCAGTCGCGCACTGCATCGAGAGCCCCATCGGTTGGACGCGAGAGAAGGTCTGCCTGCTCTTGGGTGAGGTACTGGCCGTACTGTGGATGTCTGCAGACAGTTTACACCCACACACACACACAAACAAAAGCCCCCGAGTCCGTCCGTCAGTCAGTCAATCAGTCAATCCGAACCTCAAGAGCGCCATCTTTTTTTCGGCCCACTAATCGCTGGTCCATCATAACCTGCAACGCACGTTGGATCGGAGACGCCGTAGAGCGCTCGTTCGAGCGCGTCAAAGTCCCCGGGGAAGACGCCAATGATCAGTGGGACAACGCGCTCGGGGTCAGCGCGATCCTGACGGACGTAGCGCGCGTCTGCGAACCGGCGGAAGCGCGAAGACGGGTCGTCGACTGCTTTCGTGGACACGACGGAACGAACGGACCACAGCGCTGGTACGAGCGACAGCAGCCACGAGCGCGTCATGTCGGTGGACGACGCGTGGCCGACGAGCGATTGGGTTCTGCCCCTACTTTGTTCAAGATACACAGTGGCTGTCGGGTTACGTTACCCACTCGGTGGGGCTTTAAGGCGACGACGAAAGTATCTCTTGCGGTCTCTCCTTCTGCTGACACACATGTCCGCCTGCTGTGTTGGGGTTCACGATAGGAGGAACGGCGTCGTTGCATAGAGCTTACATCGATCCCTGACTCGAGGACTACCAGGACGTGCCAGTGCACGCTCTTCTGCCATACCAGAACCCCTTTCCAACGTTGCTGCGTGCGACGCACTGAATCACTATGCGAAAGGTTTGCCTCGACGCAGCATTCCATGTGCGGATACCGATTCGAGGGTGCACGTCCAAGCTTGGCTCGTGCCTGTGCGTAACCCGTCAAGAGACACGCATGAGTTTACGCAATGGATCCCGTTTGCTAGCGTTTGTGCGACGACGAGCCACCATCGTCTTCGCACATCGATTGCGTGCGCGGGACACACAGGACCTTATCACTGCATCTTGGCGGACTGGCAGCTACCATTGCTACACGTTTACGTTTGGGGTGTCGTAGGCTACGCTTAGAGACAACGTACACCAGGACAGCGGCCTTTGCAGCGTCGGATAACAAGTTGTGCGCAACAAACTCTGTGCATGCACTACAACGCAACATCAAGAGACCGCTCTCTTCAATTTGACACCATCCTGAGCTCAGCGCTGCAGAGCACTCACTCGAGCAGGTGCTTCTCAACGGACGCACGACTGAGAACGCTCGCAGCTGAGGGGTCAACACCGCACGATCGCACCAATAATGTGTTACTTGTTGTCGATGCGTTTGATCGACAGGTCCATACATACACAGCCGTCTGGGCATCGTCGCACGTGCTCGACACTATCGCTACTCTCTCGTGTTTGCAAGCAGAATCACACACGGCCCATCGGCTGAGCTCAGTACAGGAGACATACAAAAGCCACTGCTCAGTAATGTGCTCACTCGCTCTTCGTTCCTGTCCATAGCGCTAAGGATTACGAGTTTGTGCATTTTTGGTCACTTGTGCCGCGCTACTTGTGGGTACCCTTTTCGACAGAGCTCTCATCCAGCAACTGGTCGTTGCTTCGAGGCTTTTTGAGCGCGTTTTTCTGACTCGTTTCTCGGAATACCAAAGGAAAACCCTCACGCGGATTGTGTTCATCGAACACGAACAAACGCACTCCTGTGCCCGAATCCGCCGCCAACATCAACAACAACAACAACGATACTGTCAAAACTGATGAGAAAAAAGCGGTTCGAGCGATGCCAAACGATTAGGTCCGTTCATTGAAGTTCCTTCGCACGTGTCGTGCGAATTTTTTCGAATTTTTGGCATTTGGCATCTGTTCGTCTCAAACAAAAGCGTCAGCGGCGATTCCCACTCGGCCTCTTCTTCTCTTCCTGCCGTTCGCCTCATGGACACGTCCGATGCAGCTCCTTCTTCGCCCACTGCTTCTCCGGATGAGTGGGCGGTCGTGAACAGCGACGCAGAGTACGTGGCGAGCAATTGAGCTGCGGAGAAAGCGCAGAAAAGTGCTATTCGGAACACAAATGTGACTGTTCTGTGCTACGTGCGACTCGCAGGATCGTCGCATTGGTGCCGAGCAAAGCGGTGCGAGCACTGCTATGACAGACCGTTTGCTATGGTACTTTGTGTGTTGACTCGTGCCTCTGTGTCGGTGCAGAAAGTCGAAGAGGAAGGGGTTGACACGTCCAGCGACGAGGTGCCCGAAGGGTTTGTGCCGATTCGCTTGCGACAGGGCGAAACGATTCGACCTGCGTGGTTCAAAGCTACACAGCGCGTCGATGACTTTGTCGGCAAGGTGCGCGGCACTGTGAACGTGAGTGCCTGTCGTTTCTTTATTCATCGGCAGCTGTGTACGATGTTGCAGTTCTTTGCCGACGAGCTCACCCGATGCCGGAAGATTCGGCTCATTTACATGGGCATGCTGCTGCTTCCGAGTCGCACAATGGGCGAGTACGGCATTGACGAGAATGGCGTGATCCATAGTGTTATCACTGATGCGCGTAAGTGTGTGTGCACGTGTGCAGGGGTGATGGCTCTTGGCACTTTCTGGTGTTTTGTGCGTGGAATCTAATGGCTCTTGTGTGCGATGTGATGGTGGAACGCAGCACCAGAGTCTCACTTGCAGGCAATGCCGCCTGCAAGTCTCGTGAGCTGGAAGCCACAGAGCGCGCTACTAGTTTTCACTGGCATCTTCGTCTACGGTCTCTGGACGCTGATGGTCTACTTCCCACAGTTCTTCTCGTGGCCTTCGACCGTGCTGCTGTTGCTCTTCAGTGTCATGCACATTTCGGCGGTGGCGTCCTGTATCACGTGTTGAAGCTTCTTCTTCTTCTTCTTCTTCTTCTTCTAGTCGCACGAGCCTAGCTTTGCATCGCAACCGCTTGGATTTTGGTAATGCATGTTCTTCTGTGGGCAGCCCGCCCATATTTATTCACGCTGCGCATTTGTTCAAGTAATAAAACTTCATTGATTTCATCGGGAAACTTGCTACGTCATAATTGCACTAACTGCGCCTCGCGGATACTGATACAAAAACGTTGACTCACATGTGGCAAACTTCAGGCTACTTCCGCCTGCTTAGGAAAAACGATGCGCCAGCGAGTGCTGCTACAGCGGCAGCGTATACGACCATACCAATTGCCGTGTCCGAGTTGCTGGCCAGTGCCTGGCGTACAGCGAGGCGATAGTGGGGGACTATTAAGCGAATGTGCTTGTTGCCCCATGTACGTGCTCGATTTACGGCATCCTTCAAATCGGAATCCTCAGAAAGCAGTACCTGCATTCATTCACGGCACACACCAACTGTTAGTCAAAAGGAGCATACAAGCATAGCAATGACCAGTGGCCTGGAACGTACATGGTCGCCTTCGTCGTCGACATAAAGGATCCGACGAATCGTGCTGTCGCCCAGTCGATTCTGAACGTCTACGAGGAGCTCCTTTACAGACTCAGCAGAGCTCATGAACCGGTGGTTGTTACCGTAACGATCGGCAAGCTTGTATACAAATGCGGCTGGTGCATGTTCCGCTTCATCCAGCGTCGCTGGATCGCCTGTGCCGCTTGTTCCTGTCGATGACTGGAAACCACTCCAAGACCGACGTCCGACTAACGACGCAATGTCGACACCATCTGCATCTGGATCATCGACACACACGCTGGATCCATCATCGCCCGCTTCTTCTTCAACGTTGTTCGAGCATTCGTTTGCTTTTTCCAAACTACTACGAAACTGGTCCCACAGCGGTTGCACACTGTCGCTTTTCGCGCTCTGAAATGTGCCCATTTGCTGAACAACACCGTGCGTAACCTGCAGCACGTCTACGATACCCACCAGCTTGCTGCTGTCGTCGTACACGGGGACATGTAAGAATCTCCCGTTATGCATCGAATGAAGCGTCTCCAAGATCGTCGTTCCTAGCGTAGCTGTCTGTGGATCCGGCGTCATGACGCTGGAAAGCAAGCATTTACTGGGCTCCAGTGACATAGCAACGACACGGCGCATCAGATCTTTCGACGTGAAGATGCCCACTTTCCGATTGGCTTCATCGCAGACCATCACAGCGCTTGTCTTTCGAATCAACATAAGCCGCGCTGCATCCATTGCTGACGATGTCGGGCTCAGAACTGGTACCTCGGATCCTTGCACGATGATTGCCGAGAGTGTTGGCAAAAAGAGCTGCACAAGCGCATAACAAAGCGTTAACCACAAGAAGCAGGTTCGTATGAACACACACTATCATCTACCTTCTGCCGCAGTGACTCAAACAAATTTGCTTCGCTTGATCCGGCCAGACTGTCTTGCAGCTACAGTCATGTCCACGACCAAAAAATGCACCACAAACCCTTAGAACCTCCTCATCTGCACCCGTCTGCAAACAACACATCGCTACCTTTTTCACCGTCTCTTCAAGTCGATCCGACGATCTCCGGTAAGCATGTTCCAGCTTTGTAATAGCTTCATACAGACACTTGGCAATGTCCAGGATGCCCACCACTGCTACACCACCACCATCATCAGATACATAGAAAAACTCCCACCAATCAGCTCACACACACACACAAATCACGACTCGACGCTTCCCTTGTCCTGACCTTTTTCATTGTCCGTCACTGGCAAATGTCGAAACTGTCCGGAGATCATCGTCTTCAGTGCATCAATCGCACTGGCACTCGCTGACACGCAGGACGGACCCGGTGTCATGACCTCGTGCGCCAATGTCTTGTCCGGATCTCTCCCCACGGCCACCACTTTGACCGCCACGTCTCTGTCCGTGAGAATGCCCGTAAGCAGCCCGTTTCGGTCCACCAGCAGCGCCGCGTCCGTCTCTCGCTCCACCATCGCCCGCACACACTGCGCCACAGTCGCGTGGTCGCCTTGCAGCAGCGCGCGCGACGGCTGCATACGATTGACCGAGTGGCTGCGGTGGTACGGGCGACTCAAGCGGTGTCGCGCGCGCTCGGGGGCGTCTACAGACGAGGCACTGGACGCACTGGAGTGCTGCTGGGCTGCAGGTTTCGCATCGTCTTCGAGCGACGACGGCACGTGGCGCGTGCTGCTCTTCGCCTTGCGCGCGACCTTCTTGGTCGAGAACACGAGCTGCTGCTGTGGGCGGGTCGTCTTGCGCGCGTCCTTCTCCTTGCGCTGCATGCCCTGCGTCCCACTTGCGGCCGCGAATCCTTTTCTTCTCTCGGGCCTTTTGCAAACGTCGGTTGGGCAGATGGGGTACGCCAAAGGTTACACACGCACCGTACCACGTGGATGCCACTGTCGGTTAGACTTCAAGTCTCGACTGTCAACTCGGGTCGATTGTTGTGGTTTCGTCATCTGGGCAACAACCGCAACAGCAGCAGTAGCAAAGCAACCGCAACTGGTGCAGGGAAACCGGTAGCAAACCGGTTGCACGTATCCTACCGCGTCTTCTCGAGGCTGGCCACTTCAACGTCCAGCGATTGGCTTAAATGAGGTACAGCTGCCAAAACGGATAAAGCTGGACACCGTTCGAGAGAATGACGGCAGCGAGTACGGACGCGGGCGTGTTCCTCGTCGACGACGCCGTCTTCTCGACCCACGAGGTGCGTCGACTGACAAGAGAAGAAGAGGAGCTGCAGTCGGCGGTCCAGCCGCGCGCGATAGACGAGATCCTGTACATTGCGTCGGTCGTAGCCCAGCAGCACCACTTCCCAGTCGATGTCGTGAATAACGTGCTCGCGTTTGCCGGCGTTCTGCTCGTGTTCGAGACAGAGACGTCCGAGCACCGTCACGGACGCAGCAATATGAACGAGCAGTACTTGCAGTTGCAGATACCGACGGCCGAACAACTACACGTTCCCCATGGCGTAGACGTGGGCAAGTGTTTCCAGTTGGTCACGGACTGCGTGTCGAAAGACCAAGGCTGGGCTACAGACGAGCGAGAACATAATGGAACGTACCGTAACTCAAGCTCCTGGATCGAGGTGTCGGTATCGTCGACAAGCACGGAGGGAGACAGCAAGGAGACCGTTCGCATGCCATTGTGGCCAAACCTCCGCGCTAGTCGGACTTTCCGCCACCATCGCAAGCTGTTCGATAGCTCCACCGAGCTGCTGGAGCACATTCGTCTCGGCGATTGTGTGTCGATTGTGCTTCGATCCGAGTATCCAGGGTGGACGAATTCTGCAAAGTATGGCCGAGTTGTCGCCTGCTTTGCTGTAGAGTTCCAGGACGACTTTTCGTTTGCTGACGTTCCATTCCCAAGTCGCTCTGGTGGTGCAAAGGAGTGCAAAGATCCTTCTGCGCCTTGCTGTCTTCAATAAAGAGGCGACGGTGTAAGCTACGTAGACAGTGTCTTCCATCTCACAACAGGTTTCACTTACTGGCCTACTAGGAATCGGAACATGGAAATCAAATGGACGCTGCTCTGCCAAGTAGCAATGCATCGAGTAGCTATAAGATGCGTGACGGACACGACAAGGTTGTATCGTCCGCACAGCACGAACAGATCGAGATGACTGCATCGAGTACATGAATTCGGCAGCATTTCAACCACGTGTTCGATGCAGAGATGCCAAGCGTGTCGTAGTATGCGGCATCATTGCGATGTTTGTTCTGATGAAGAAGAAAAAGCTGATCCTCTGGACCAACTTGACTCGATCTATACTGTTCATGCTGATGCTATAACAAAGAGCGTCGTAAACGTGGAATGTGCACCCATACGACGTGCCAACTCCAACGGGAACGTCAGCGTCGAGCCAGCATTGTACCCATTCTCTCTGCAATTGGGACCTGACCCACAAATTGGACTTTCAGCCACTCACCATTTGCGTGCGATCGTTCGACTAATTATATCTCTTTTTCGGTCCAAGACAGTAAGTGACCGCAGGGGCACAATGTGGTGGCGACAGTCTTTTGTGCAGCATATAGCAGCACTGCTAGCACTCGCTGCGGTGACGATAGCAGCGCAACTGCTCGAACAAGACGACGACCCTGTCAGGTTCCGACCGATCACGACGTTCCCACCGGCGGAAGTGCCCTACAAGACGCACGAAGTGTTGCAATCTGCAGAGAAACTACATGAGCTGCTCGGGGTATTGCTGGCTGCATTGATAGTGCTCGTCGCGTCGGGGGCGTCTATCGAAGGCGGAGCTGTGCTGGATGCAGTCTTTATCTTGGTGCTGAAACTGGGCCCGAATGTACGTGGCTCTCGATTGGCAGTCGCGTTGTACCGAAGGATCTGTTTATGACTGTTGGATTGTAAACGGACTCTAGGAAGCAATACCCCTAGCAAGTGTGACCGTTTTCGGCGGAGGTGAGGTCAACAGGTGGGGAAACTGGTGCTATGCAGGTTGCTGACAATGCTGTGTGACTGTCCAAAGCTGTTTGCGACTTCTTGCTGAACTTTCGGAAGAAATCCGTCAGCTCCACTGACTCCCTGATCAACTGGGACTTTATCCTGATGGTGCAGCCCATGCTACTCAGTAAGTAATGGACTTGAGCACAGGCAACGGATGTTTGCGTCGTTGGGTAACTGTGTGACCCTTGTTTTGTGCAGTGGGGACTGTATTTGGGGCGAGCATTATCTCGTGGTTCTCCAACTGGCTGCTCATTATTGCGCTGATCGTGTACTTAGCGTACATTGGCAAGAGCGTGTTCAAACAGACGCGTGTCGTCGGTCATGAAGAGGGCTGGAGCTGTTGCAGCGGCAGTGGATCGGGGTCACTGCTTGGAGCACCGTCGTCTGGTTTTCAGGTACGCTTACAGCAGCAGCTGAAGGGGTTGGTGCGTCATGGTCTCATCGCTGACCAGAAATGCTTTCAATGATAGAACAATGATGGCGGATTTCTGTCACGCGCCGGACTCCCTTGGCGAAAGGCGGGGATCAACTTTGGCCTCTTTGCTGCAACAATACTACTCATGGCGCTCCAGGGTGGAAAGTATTTCCCCAGCCCGCTCGGAATCCCTCCCACGTCCATCTTCTTTCTGCTCGTCTCGCTGTTGCCATTTTTCTTCCTCTCGGTCGTCTCGCACTACCAAATGAAAGGCGTCGTGGCGACGTACCGGCGACAGCAAAACCCACGCTTCATCCTTGCGCCGAATGAAGTCCAGGTCGCCTGCCGCTGTGTTTGCTTGGCTGCCATAGCACGTATGTACTCACGATGTCAATGTGTGCCGTGTTATCCATATGCAGTGGTCAGTGGACACAATCCGGAAACTGCCGCTTCATCTACTGGGCAGTGGAGCGGCAGGAGGAGCGTTTGGTGTCGGAAGTGAGTTGTCGATCTCCCGTCTGCTGCGTGGGGTCAACTTCCCACCAGCCGCAGTGTCGGCCATGGCTGCAACAACGGTCTTGTTTGTCACGGGCAGTACGTAGTCGTCATCGACAATGGATCTTGTGATGGCACACACTGCACTGACGTCTTGGACACTTCTGTGTGTGTGTATGTGCTGCAGTGGCGTCGTTCAGCTTTTTTCTCTGGGGCAAACTGGACCTGCACTTGGCGCAGTTCCTCATGCCGCTGGGCTTCGTCACGACTCTCCTCGGACGTCTGTGCCTCTTGCGCATCGCTCGCCAGTCCAGTTCCCGCACGTTGCTGCTCGTGGCCATCGCCGCGACGATCGTCGTCAGCGTTTTTCCGCTCAGTTTTATCGCGCTCAAGGGCCTTTACGGGTTGTAGAGTGCGGAGATTTAAGCCTCAGAATTAAACGCGCGTCGTGCTATTGTTTATTGTAAAAGTGCGGGTCGGCCCGCTAAAAAGTCGTCATCATTTCTATCTCACCGGTGCGCTTCGAAGGAGAGAGGGGGCGAGGACGACTCAAGCGGACGCGGCCACGATCGACGACGGGGATCGGACGGGCAGCGCAGAGGACCACAGGATGGCGGACACGGACGTCTGGTCGCGCGAGAACGGCGTGGGCCAGAAGAAGCGCCGCGAGACGCTGTCGGGAGGCGATGTCGCACTTAAGAAGATCAAACTGGAGCACCGGACGCCGGTCGAGGCCAACCCGAATACGATTGAAGCTGTGCGCGAGAAGAATAGGGCGATGGACATTGACATGAAAGAGAAGAACCGCCGGATCACGTACTTGACCCAGAAATGCGAGACGCTGTACCGCTCGCGAGAGCTCACGAGCGCGTCATTCCGCTGCATGAGGAGGCAGTGGCTCCAGCTCCAGGACGAGCTCTTGGCTACATTACAAACCGTCGATCCTTCTGCCGTGTGTGAGGAGACGTCGAGAGAGGCCTGGCTGGCAGTGTTAGAAGCGGTGGATGACTTTGGACAGGTCCGTGTTCGTGCAGACGAGCTCACGCTAGATTTGCCCGAGTGGTTTAGTATTGTAGCGAAAGATGCCGAGACAGAGGAACCGGACGCTGATGTCTTATTGCCAATGGAAGACATTGCCCATGACGGCGCGTCCTTGATTAAACCACACGATCGACTGAACATGGAGACCAAAGTGCACGCACAGCTTGAGCACAAGAGTGGAAAGATGAAGGAGTTGTTACAAAAGCTGCTCGCAGTGGCGGGAAGTTGCGCCGAAAACAAGGCAAAATGCATTGAGTATGCTCATATTGTACAAGCGAAACAAGCTGCGGTCGCGGAAACGCTCGATCTCAAGGGCCAGCTACAGGCGGTACGTTCACGCTTGAAATGTGCTACAACGTGAACTGGGAAGGAGGGCTGACTGATGATGCATTGTGTGGTACAGTGCAAAACGCGAATATATGAACTAGAACGTGATGTCGAGAGCAAGGAAAGTGAGCGTCATCAAGCTTGTCGAGAGTACGACCGTCTGAGTGCATACGTTGAGCAACGGGGTGATGTGAAAACAGAAGATGCTGTTGCGGGTGATATAAAAAGCAAAGAGGTTGCAGAGACTGAGCAATCTGGCGCCACAGCTACGTCGGGATCACCGAACGCTGAGACAGTGCAACAGGAAGCTTTTGCGAAAAAAGAGATCGAGCACGCCAAAGTCGTTGCAACCATGAAGGAGAATATGGGGATTTTGACCACGAAGCTGTACCAAGAGCGTCAGAAACTGGAACTAATGCGACAGGAGCTGGAAAAGTTCAAGGCAATGGAATTGGCGGTATGCAATCGCGCATTGTTGTCTTGATATTGTCGGGTGTAATATCTGACAACTGCGTCGATGTGTGCCTGCATGTACGCAGTGGAAAAACGACGAGGCTGCTTTACTTAAAACACATAACGAAACAATCAAGCAGCTTCAAGACGAGAAAGCGCACGTCGACGTAGAGTACAACGAGCTCTTGCAGAAATCTAAGGTAGCCTGTCGTGCTGGCCGAAGGTATGCGTGTTGGCAGATTGCTGACGTGTGCTTGCCAAACTCGTGATCGGTGTTTGTGTCATGCTGCATCATACAGGACTTGGAGCATCACATGACGGAGAAATGGGAAAAGAAAGTAACAAAAATTCAGGAGGAAATGAGTCGAACAAAGTCGCAAATGGATGAGTTAAATCTGAAGAATGTATCTCTTCGAGAGAAGATCTCCAACGCATCGACCTACAGAGATCAGGTACGAGTTTACTTTTGGTCGATAGCACTTTCATGTGTCTCACTAGTCCTGCTTTTGTGTCGGTGTGAAGCTATCGGAAGTAAAGCCAGAATTGGAGTCATGCAAGCGTGAAAACGCTAAGTTGAAAGCACAAATCGAGCGCGAGCGAAGCAGGGCAGATCGAGCGCAAGAGTCGGCAGACAACCGCGAAATCGAGGCGCTGACGCAAAAGGTAAATCTCGAGCTTTGTCTGAGAAGGCTGTGGTTGCCCGTCTCTTTCTATACCAACGCTTGATGCGTGTGATAATGTAGGTGTCTCTATTGACGAAGGAGAAACTGGATTTGCAAGAAACGTGCGACATGCTGAAAAAGGCTGAAGCGTACGCAACACGCAGTATAGAGTCAGCATGATTGTTAACTTGCAGAGGCCTGATCATGCTGCCGTCTTGTAACAGGAAAAGTGCGGACGAAAAGCTGTCAGACGTTCTCAAGCAATTACTGGAGGTGGAGAAGAAGCTCGAAAAAGAGAGGCAAGAGCACTACACATGCAATACGGATCGAGGGTTGATACGTGCTGAGCTGGAGGATTTGAAGACTTCTGGTGAAGCGTCGCGAGAAGAAAACGATGCTTTGCTGTTGGAGATTGACACGATGTCAAAAGAAGTGACTTCGTTGCGCCACGGTCGGAAGAAGTATATTCAGCAGATCGAAGAAAAGCGCAAGGCCAATAAGAAGCTTCACACGTTGCTTGCAAGAGAGGAGCAAGCCAAATCACACTGCTTTGAAGAATTGGCTGCTGTCAGGCTGCAGGTCTCGTCTCTGAGCACCGTGCACAAGCATCAGAAGACTTTCATCGAGTCATCTAAGGTACGCATGACAAGACCTGTGAGCGCCTGATTGTATCGTGCTGTAGACGAGCTGACAATCGGTTGCGCTGGTTTGTATGGTCATGTTGCAGGAGTCCTTGCAAGCGAAGGAGGTGGAGCTCGAAAAGATGAAGGAGTACGTTGAGACGCTCGAAACAGAGCGCGAGGCTACTGATGCTGAGAAGCGCAAGGTGTTGCGAGATGCCGAAGTCGCAAAGAAGGTTTGCGAGGCGGCAGAAAGGTCGCAGCGTGAGCACCAGCTGCTGCAGGAAAGACAGAGGTCATGTGAGCACTGCGCGAAACTCCGCAAGAGGATCGAGGACGTTGAACGGGAGCTGCACAATTTGAAGTCGGCAACATGTACGGGCGAGCTCACGGACCTCGAGCGGTTTGAGCTCCGCGACTTGCAGAAGCTCGTGAACTGTTCCGTCTGCCAGGATCGGCGCAAGGACGTGATTATCTCCAAGTGTTTCCACATGTTCTGCAAGGAGTGCATTGACACGAATCTCAAGGCGCGCAACCGCAAGTGCCCCACGTGCAAAAAGATGTTTGGGCAGGACGACGTTAAGACCGTATGGTTCACGTAATTCGCGCTCGCTCGCTCGCTCGAGTCAAGGAAATAGTAGTAGTAGTAGTAGTAGTAGTAGTAGTAGCACAGCGTGACATTGTCTGCTTCTCGGCTCTTGTTGAACCCGTCTTTGGTCTCCTGCAGCAACTTTGTCTCTGATCGCGCAACTTCCACCGGCTCAGTTACGAATCGTCCGTCACGGGCAACAATGGCCCGCAGCACTCCCCGCGCGTCAAAGCGTCGCGCGTCGTCTGCCCCCCGCAGCGCCGCCGGCAGCCGCACAACGACGAAGCGCCAGTGCCACGCGACACGTCCTCTCCAGCTCTACGCGCCCGACGAGGCCGTCCTCGTGGTCGGCGACGGCGACTTTTCCTTCTCGCGCGGCCTCGTCCAGCACCGCGGCACCGGTCGAGGAGTTGTCGCCACTTCGCTGGACTCGAACCGCTGCGTCCGCGTGAAGTACGCGAACGCGCCCGAGTGCATCGCCGCCGTACGGGATCTGCACGGCCTCGTGCTGCACGACGTCGACGCGACCAAATTGCAGGCGCTGCCCCAATGTGTAGAGAACGGCGCGGGGCCGCAGCCCGTGCCCGACGTCTTCCAGTACATTGTGTTCAACTTTCCCCACAGCGGTCAGCAGCGCGTGCACATCAATCGGTCGCTGCTGCTCAACTTCTTTGAGAGTGCGCGGGACCGCTTGTCGGTGCACGGCGAAGTCCACGTGACGCTCAAGACGCAGCCGCCGTACTCGAACTGGGGCATTGAAGACCGCGCGCGAGACGCTGGACTCGTGCTGAAAGCGCGGTGGAAGTTTGACATTCGGCTCTTTGCTGGGTACCGCCACCGCACGACGGACCCACATGCCAAGAAGTTTGAACCGGACCTCTGTGTCACGTACGTCTTTGTGGTGAACCGGTCAAAGGTACGATGTGCTGCGTCGATGGGCGGAATTTATGTGGGTGGGTGCAACGTGTACGTGGTGCGGTCTTGTGCTCACTTTCTGTTGGTTTGCTATGCCATATGTGATAGTATCCTTTCCAGACACGTCGAGCGGAGTTGTTGGCAGCCAGTGCGGCTATCACAGCGTCGGAAGCGAGTGAACAACACGACTTGGCGGCTGCTATTGTCGAGATTGCGAAAGCAAAAGCAGCGGCGAGTCAGAACGTGGACAAAGTCAGTGACGTGGTTGTGCGTCGTTCGCAGCCGAAAAGAATTGCAGCAAAGCGACCTGCGCTGGTTGCAGCATGTCTTGAAGAGAAGAAACAGACAAACAGGATTCGATGTAGTGGTTGGGTTGCTCGCGGTGTATTGTGGAAACCTCTGCACAGGCGATCGGGTGGCAGCATCCGGTAGGTTGGAACGGGCCACCGCCTCATCAATACCCTATTGACACCCGATATGAACGCGCACATGTCAGCAAAGCGACTCACTCACGTCCACGGACGATACTCTTGCAACACTGGCATAGACGTGTTGCGTGTCCGGATTCGAGAGTCCGAATTTGGATTCCGGGTGATCGTTCAGCCGTGAGGCGCTACTCTCGATCGCACTCGTTCTTCTTTGGCAAGACATCCGACCCGATCATCCGTGATACGTATACTACGCCATGCGTTCTTTCCAACACGTTTCCACCGTCAAAGCGACCTGCTCATCGCTACCATCTCAATGCCATGCCCAAAGCATAAGTGCTTGACACGGGCAATGCGTCGCGAAAGTCTCGACAGCCGGACGGAGCGAAACTGCAGCACGTGTGCCGACTTGTAGCAGCGAACGAGACTATTGCTGTCGTCAGTGGGTCTCGTCCAAAACATGATAAGCTAGAAGCTTGACCACATCAGGATCGGGATGAACCAGCGACTTTGACTTCGGGAACTCGCTCATCCAGGCGACGCGACTCGCAGCTGAGAGACAAAAAGTTGGGCGGCGTCAAACAGGGACTGTTGCATGACCCGTCATGGTCTGCACGCTCGATTCCATCATGGGCGGCAAGTGAGTAGAACACCAGTGCATAAGATAAAGAAGTATCACGACAATGCCGCAATGTCCTCATCGTGTCTGAGTTCGGCTTACAGACGATCATCGACTCCCTTCTGCTTGGACACGAAAGCATGAAGTTCAGCTTGGAATGCAGGCTTCGCCAAGTCAACACAGCGCTTCCCTTCGTTGTTTTTTGCGCTCGGGTCGGCTCCGTGCTCCAGCAAATACCGCGCAATATCTTCGTGTCCCTCGCTGATAGCCAAGTGCAACGGAGTGTTGCCATCGACATCGCGACCATCAACTTTTGCACCATGCTCAACAAGTTGCGCGATAATTGCTGCAAGCCACACGGCACCACGTGTAAGTACAGCTACGAACAATGCAACAACGATCGTCGACTGTCATCTCTCACCTAGACTGGGTTTGCCACCCAGCGCGCGCATCAGCGGAGTGCTCCCCGTAGTATCCTGCCATACCAGCACACCCCACACCCATCATCACTCCATCATTCACACATTTTCTTCCTCATGTCGGCACTTATCGGAGGATACCAACGCAAGACACACAGCTCATCGTACCGCATGGTTGACGTCCGCCGTATAGTCCAACAGCAGCTCGGCGATTTCTCGTCGTCCTATGTGCCAGCCACCGAAACACATCACCGCCTCCATGAGCTCAGCGACAGCAACACAGCGCCCTCCTTCGTCAGCCATCCACCCACTCACCTCGATGGTAGTGCAGCGGGATCTGTCCGTTCACGTTGCCGAGTTCCGCACTCGCGCCGCTGTGCACCCCATCCATACACAATGCAAGTCAAACACGCGGCAGATGAGAAACGATTCCGCTTATACACGACCCACAAACACACACACACACAGAGCGAAAAAACAAACGAAAGGCCCCACCTGCTCAGTAGCAGTCCGACGATCTCAGCGTGACCAGCCGACGCCGCACTCATGAGCGGCGTCCACCCGGCGTCGTCCTGCACGTCCAGCGACGCTCGAGCACGTGTCAGTAGGAACTCGGCCACGTTCAGACGTCCAGAAGCACAGGCCCAATGCAGCGGCGTGCGCTCGTCCTGGTCCTTCGCATCGAGATGCACGCCCTTGTCCAGCAGCGCTTGTAGCGCCACCACGTCGCCTGTCGTCACGGCAGCGCGGACCGCAGTCTCCTCCATCAGCGACGCCCTCCGTTGAAGTCGATGGGCGAGCGGACTTTGGACCGCGAAGCCCTTGACGGTGACCCCTGGTTTGTGATATCGAGCTTGAACTGTGTTTTGATCCGGATATTGTAGGTTGGCGGTTTGTAGGTTGTCCCAAGGAGTCGATTCTAGCTGAATGGAAATGTGAAAAGGCTGACGAAGTGATAGCTTAGCTTACGGAGGAAATCACGGTCGCCTGATGTGAAGTCGCGATGAACGCTGTCGGCACTACAGCGAAGATGGTCTTGCTTCAACGCTCTATCGATGGATAAATATCTATCCGTACTGGATGTCAGTGCTTCCACGCCACTGTCCCGACTACGGCTATGACATGGAGTGTAAGTGCATTACCACCATGAATGGTTGTGCTTATAACTTAATGGGAGCAACAGAAAGCCTACAAAAGGATCTCAAACTCTCTTGGCAGACACGTCTTGCAACGAATGCCGTGAGATCGTATCCCCATCGATCCCTACGCTCGAGCACTTTTTGTCCGTCAAAAACCTGTCGCCACCATTTCAGCATCTCGATTTCCAATAAGTGCCCAAGTGCGCACTTGCCAACAACCTAGAAACCTCCATCGAGGTTGTAAACCTGCGAATATCCAACGCGCAACAGCTCTGCCGTCCGCAGATAAAAACAACTATCTCCACCGCGCAGGTCCTCTGTAGTTTCGAGACATCGCCAGTCAACGCCCATCCTATCTCTCCACCACAAAATGTAGCCATCCGTCGCAGCCTATCAGCCACACTAATCAACGCCACGACCACAACAGCTCGTGACGGCGACCACCAGTCACTGGCCGCCACTCCTCGTCCTCTCGCCGCCCCCACGACGCCCATGAGTCGCTCTGCAGACGCCACCAGCAGCTACTCGACCCGCTCGGGGCTGTCGAAGACCTGGCGCACCGTTAAGACGCACACGGGCGTGTACACTGGCGGCAAAGTCGAGCTCTTTACGGACGCGAGCAGTGCCGATGGAGCGCCGCGCGCGCTTGTCGCCTGTATGTTGCACGACGACGTGGCGATCGTCGACGCAGTCACTGGCGCGCTCCAGCGCACACTGCAACAGGACGTCGAACCAGAGGACGCAAAGGAGTCGTTCGTGGTCTTTGCCGTGCGGCCCGGCGCGACGCGGCAGCTCGTGACCGCCGGTCGCAATCTGCTGCTCCGCCTGTGGGATCTCGACACGTTCACGTGCGTGCGGACCATCAAAGCCCATGACACGCCCGTGCTGGCCATGGGGTTCGACCCGTCGGGCACACTGCTGGCCACGGGCGGCAGCGACCGCTCGGTCAAAGTCTTTGACGTGGACAAGGGCTTTTGCACGCACAGCTTTCGCGGCCACGCAGGCATTGTGACGCTCGTGCAGTTCCATCCGGACGCCGCGCGGTGTCTGCTCGTGTCGGCGAGCGACGACGCGACCGTGCGTGTCTGGGACTTGTACACGCAAGAGCAGGTGGCGTGCATCCAGGAGCACATGAGTCCCGTCACGAGTGTGGCGTTCTCGGAAGATGGGTACACGATGCTGTCGGCCGGACGGGACAAGGTCGTGAACTTTTGGGACCTGCGCGACCAGAAACTGAGCAAGACAGTGCTCGTGCACGAAGCAGTCGAAGGACTTGTCGTCGTGCCATCGACGTTCAAGTGTGTCACGAACGCAGCTGCCGGGAAAAGCCTGGATGCTGGCACGATCTACTTTTTGATTGCTGGCGAGAAAGGGGCACTGCGGTTGTGGCGGAGTCATGGCACGTCTTGCGAGACACTGTTTACACAGCAGTCACATACCTCATCAGCTGTCGCGTATACGGATATGCTGCTGAGCGCAGCTCGGCGTGAAGTGATGGTCGTGTCGTCCGAGCAGAACTTCCTGGTGTTTAATGAAAAGCTGACGCGACGCACCCAGATCATCGGCTTTAACGACGATATTCTCAATCTCAAGTACATCCCAAAGGCTGATGCGAGCGGCAAACCTTCGGACGTGCTAGCAGTGGCCACAAACAGCGAACAAATTCGCCTCTTGAAACGCAGCACGCTGTCCTGCGAGCTCTTGTCCGGTCACACCGATATTGTCATGGCGTTGGCGGTCTCTCCAGACGGTCGATGGCTTGTGAGTGCGTCCAAGGATCGGACCGCTCGGCTTTGGGACTTACGACCGACTGGCGGCAAGCAAATGGGAAAGACTCTGCCGTGCTGTGTGGCCGTCTGTACAGGCCACACTGAGGCTCTCTGCGCGATCGCGATATCGCAGCGCGCTACCAGTTTCGCCACTGGTGCAGCTTACTATGTAACTGGTAGTTCGGACAAGACGCTCAAGATGTGGAGTCTGCAGTCGCTAGCTGGGCTGTACGCTACGCCTGCGAAGCCCGCACCGGCAACATTGATGGTGTCTTCGCTTGGTACTGTAAAGGCCCACGATAAGGACGTAAACGCACTTGCGGTATCTCCGAATGACCGCTTTATTGCAAGTGCATCGCAGGATAAGCTGATCAAGGTGTGGCACTCGCAGCAAGCAGGCGCCGGACGTCTGTTGACGCTGGCTGGTGTTTGCCGCGGCCATAAGCGCGGCGTTTGGGCTGTCGAGTTCTCTCCGGTCGACCAGTGTCTTGCATCTGCAAGTGGCGATAAGACCGTGAAGGTGTGGTCCGCCAAAGATTTTTCGTGTCTGAAGACGTTTGAGGGCCACACGGCTTCCGTCCTGAACGTACAGTTTGCATGCGCTGGTATGCAGCTGTTGTCTGCGGGTGCTGACGGGCTTGTGAAGCTGTGGACGATCAAGAGCAACGAGTGTGAGGCTACGCTCGACAATCACGAGGACAAGATCTGGGCTCTTGCTGTGTCGAAAGACAGCTCCGAGATGGCCAGCGGTGGCGCGGACTCGACTATCAATTTATGGCGCGATTTTACGGAAGAGGACGAACGCGCACAGCAGGATGATCGTGACGCGAAGTTACTGAAGGAGCAGGAACTTCTGAACTGCCTTCGTGGTAACAAGCCGCTTGATGCGGTGCAGCTTGCGTTTGAGCTCAACCACCCGAATCGCATGCTGCAGATTCTACGCGATCTGCTTGAAGGTCCGCGACACAAAGACCAGGCAGTGCTTCCCAGCGGCAAGCCTATGGATCCGGACAACTTTTCTCCCGAGGACATCTTTGCGCCGGTGGTGCACAGCCTAGAAGATGAACAGCTAGCAACGCTTATGGAGTGGTTGCGTGATTGGAACACAAATGCCCGCAACACGAGTGTCTGCCAAGTGCTGATAAGCACGATTTTGCGTGAATTGCCTCCCAGTCGTCTGAAATCTGTGGATGGTGTCGTCAAGACTGTGGAAGCTCTGATTGCGTACAGCGAGCGTCACTTCCAGCGCATGGACCGTATGCTGCAGAAGTCCTATCTAGTGGACTTCAGTATCGTGACCATGAAGACCTTGCTGCCTGTCGACGAGACTGAGTCGGCTGTTGGAAAGACGGACAGTGATAGCGAAGCGGTGGAAGAAGAAGAAGGGGTGGATATGATGCAGCATCGTCGAAAGCGCCGCAAGGCTGTTGTAGGAAAGACAAAGAAGGAACGCGTGGACGCAAATTGAGCATAGAGCCCTCGTTTTCATGATAGCTGCTTGTCCCATTTGGTTTGGTGTCGATGTCAGTCAGTTGCGACACCGTTTGTGGGTTCGAAGCTCCCGTCTCTCTTTAGGTTAATGCATTGGTCGAGCGAGACCCACCGCTTTGAGGCGGTAGATAGTCCCTGCAATACGATCCAGCGGCCGCTTGACTCTCATGTGTTCATACACGAAGTGCAATCGTCGTACATGAGGAACGATAACTGTTGGATTGAGCTCTGTCAACTGTGAGACAAAGTTGATGCGTGAAGAGAATGAAAAGTGCCAGCGCTCGATTGCCGGCGGTCAGAAAGCAAGTGAGCCAACCCGCCAACTCGTCGTAACACTGCACTGAAGGACGCAGACATCCTTGTACAGTCGATGTATGTTGCAGCTTTCGTTACAGCTTGATCATCAGTTCGCCGAGTATCATCGACTCACTTGTCTCCATATCAACCCATTCACTCCCTTTCGGACACCTCTTTGGTTCGTTCGCTCAGGTCCTCGTGTATCGATGCACTGCTGATCCCAATGTAACCGCTCAATCGCATGTTCACATAATGTAATGCTGGAAGCTTATGTCTGCAGCACCAGTGCTGGAAGCTTATGCATTTCACACCAGCAAACAGTCACAGAAGGGCTCAGTTTTGGCGTGTACAGCTCCATCGCGACCCACGTGTTCATTCAGTATCACATTTCATAGTGTCGCTGTCTTGCTCACGCATCTGCGTCGTCAGCTCTCTGTTGGATGGATCATATATGCGGACACCTCGTGGACCACTTGCTGGAATGCAATCTACATCTAATGACTGTGGACCAAATCGTCACTCTTGTTGGCCAAGTGACGAACAAAACGCGGCGTATCTTGTTCGTTCAAGTGTCATGGCAACGACAAATAAATCTTATCTTGTCACGGCCGTTCGTATACGTGTAAGCAATATGCAGACGCTGTCGAAATATTGCTCATCGGCCGGCATATGTTTGACTTGGGCTGTGCCCGACCACTAATTGTAAATTCGGACGGAGTCAATTGCGAAGATTCAGGAGAAGATTGTACATTCGCTGATTATTAGAATAATTGGTTTGTTACATTGCGGCCGAGACGATTTTAATAATTTCGTGACAACGAATTTTAGCAATACCAAAGGAAGTGATCATAGTTGATTGAAGATGGCTAAACGCAAAATGAATATATTTGGGGCCTTACTCTACAAAGTCCTGTTGCTACACTATCCCTGATATATACTTTCTACCTTGACGTTAGCAAATGACACATCGCACATTACTGATTGTCTAGTCGAGCATTTCTGTTCGTCTAGTCGTACGCTTGTAATTCTGGTAGAGTGTTGCGAAAGGGAAGTCGTGACAAAAACATAGGTGTTCGCTCCAAAACACTGTGTTACGGTTAGGCTATCCATTAGCCTATTAGAATATATACCAAAAACGAAAACCAAAATACTACTTTCAATTGAACTTCGTTAGAAATGTTGCTTAAATAAGTCGGACACTCCGCTTTTTAAACGGACTGCAGTCTTCAGTTGTGAGACGACGGCTTCTGCAAACGACGCGGGTGGGAGGCAAGGGCGTGACGGCAACATCTGCAGCGACGGAGACTGAACCGGTGGAACATGCAGCGGTTAAAGAAGCAGCGGCACCGGACGAGACAGTGTCCGCAGAGGCGGGATTGGCTACGTCGTCGCGTTACAGAGCGAAAGGTAAGCTGGCGGCGGTATGTCCACTTGCGCGAGTCGCGATGACGGCACTTGTAACAGATTGTACCCGATTAACTCGTCTTTGACTCGGACAGGCTCAATCGTCGCACGTGAGGGACACTGAAGCCAGTTGTGGCCAATTCCAAGGCAATAATCGCAGGCGTTGCAAGCGAGCTGCCTCGCTACTAGCTCGAAATCCGACGGATGACGCGTCGTGGATCTCTGGTGCGACCGCTTTCGAGAATTGGTTCTGGATGCGGAAGGGAGGAAAGATACCAAAATATCTTGGGGTCAAAAACGTTATCGCTTCTGTCGATATCCTATCGCCCTTGTTCAACGAATTCACTAACTTCAATGAGTTGTCTTGTGTCGATGTGGCAGCAGATTACGTGTGCACATGGGATCCCCAAGACGCTTGTGTAATAGCCGGTGGATGTCTTAAGGTTCGCACAATCGAAGGTAAGTAGATTCTGTTTTTTAGAAGCACCAGCGCGTATCGCGATATCGTGCGATGGAGCTTTGAAAATAGCTCAGTGGACAGGTTCGCGAGTACCTCTCATTGTTCCTTTACCATCGTTTCGCTAATTCGCTTGTAATTGGATTCAACACCCCTTCGAATTCTATCGTAGGCGTCGAATAGAGTTCCGCTTGGGCTGTTAACCCAGCTTTTATGTATGCGTGATGCGCATTCTCAACTCGTAAGGTGACTGTGTGTCCAAAATGTTGGAGTCGGTCGATGCTGAATGAGACCCATTGGCGTCGAAGAGGGAATTTGAGTTATCGAGGTATGCAATTGTTCTTTCGTCCTGTATGAAACAAATTAGATATCAAATACATAATAATATTAAAATAACTCTATCGGTCAAACATATTATAACTTCGTGTGATAAAGAACTTCCTGCAATAGTTACGAGCTGTTGCCAAAGCTTCATAAACAGACCTTTAGTAGGCGCATGGACAGTAGCATTCCAGTGGTCCATGAAAGCTATCCAACCTCCCTCACCGGCATTTGAAAAATTTCTTCGACAAAGGGTAATAATCTTGTTCGCAATATGGAACCGACAGATAGTGACAAACGCGCGTGGCCATTTTCCAGCAATAGCCTTAACGAGGCCAAAGTCTCAATCGATGACGAGTATATGTGGAGCCTGATGAATAATCATGTCGATCTCATTAATCATACATACGTAGTAGATAAATGCTTTTCCATCCATAAATTCAACTACAGCAGAATAGTATGGTTTGTAAACGTAATTCCGACCACGTGCAGAAGTGGGAGACCGTGAGCATTCGTCTTGAAAGTGCAATCAATGACAACATCCTTTTCATATCGGCAAATGATTTCCACTGAATGTTTTGGTTGCCGAGAGAGATACCAAACGTGATTGTCTTCGTCCACCGCGACCGTAGCATGAATCTCTTGGTTTTTCAGGTGCTTCATCAACGCCTCCGTGTGAGTCTTACCGCTCAGGGCCTTCAAGTTTGCCATAACAATATTCTGTACATCCCTTGCCTTGATCAGGACGTTCATCCCCTTGAAATGGTTAACTATAACCTAGCGAAGGAAATTAAAAAGCAAAATATATATATTAATTGTTTAATAAGAGTAGTAAAGGTACAATTTTGAAGAAAATAATAAGCATCAAAAATTGAAGTAGTTGTTCTAAGAGTATTATATGCACACTACTCACCTGTGGAGTAGCCCTATCTTTATGCATCTGTACAACCTTGGCGTCGACATCTTCCTCTTCTCTCGTTGCACGACGATCCACAGGTAGTGCCGAGAGCATAGTTCTAAAAATACCTCTGATATAGCCATTGTGGCACTCATTTACAGAAAGCGTCAACGAGGCGGTTTCTTCCGGAGCGTGTTTGTCATATACGATCACAAGCTCATACAAGCATCCATCCTTTTTAGTAGAACGAGTGTGCGATGCCGTAGGCCGATCGTGTGATCGCTTGTAGTATTTTCATGTGAACAGCACAGAAAAACGCGCTTGGTGCCAATTCTGTTGCTGCGGTAGATGCTGACGGCAAAGCCTTGGCGTACGGAGTACAGTTTCACGGCCGCTACAGCTTCCTTCTGACTGCCGAAGGACCCGGTCAATAGTAGCTCTTCACGTCTCCATGACAAGGCCTCTTCGTCTTCGTCAAAATCAATATCATGTGCCTAAACGGAATCTGCTGCATCAGTGGAAGGAAATGAGAATCTCATCTCAATGATCGAAATAATGAAAGGTTGATACAGACTAAATCGATGGCCAGGCGGCTTACGGAATAGCGTTGATCCATTTATTAAGACTAACGGGTAGCAGGTATAAGTCTAGTTTACAATATAGGATGATTCGTTTTTCATCCACCAGCTTTGTCTTACTTAGCCCCCACTCTCTCAAAATAAAGTCTCTGATTGATCATAAGGCCAATAAACATAATTTATTAACACTTTCACTACATCCAACCTGGGTACAACCGACTTGCTGAATATTTTTAGTGCTGCTATTGAAATCTGTCATTATGTATTTACATTCTTAACACGTCGATTAGTTGCTGCTCTGGACAATTGACGCTCTCCTTTGCATTAGGACGGCAAGGTCATGCCACCTCGGCATCATCTGTTGGAGTCAACAAGAAGTATTCTATCGATGACTTGGCGCAAACGATATCTAGTGCGAGCAGAACGCAGACCGACCCACGCCATATTGATTCAATGGTGTGGTTGTTCATGCTTTATCAATCCAAAATACACACGCGACGCTAGTTAGCCGTGTTGCACAAAGCCTATCAGCAGCAGCACAGATTACCAACCTGTTTGTACTTTCTCAAGAGGGAAAGTGGCAAGTAAAACCATGTTGAAACACCACAATAAACGACGATGGCAAATAGTACGGCTAGGGTCAGCGTGAACTCAAGCATACCGGTGTCGTATACTGAAGTATCCTTAGCAACATAGATTATATAGCTCAAAAATCGGAGTCATCTATTTATAAAGCATCGCAAGTACCTGATGCATGGCGCCAATATTAAACGCAAGCAACGCCGGGTTGGTCCCGACACTCAAAGTCGAATCGGGACGTTTTAAAACCTCTTTGTGTGGTCTTCTCTTTGCTCAATCATGAGAAGCTTCGACATACGAGTCAAGCGACGGCTTCATATCCGCCTTTATACACATTAATGTAATCATGGTGTACATGGTCGCTCCAAGCACAATGCGATCATCGCCACAACACTCATTCATCAGCAGTCAGTTCTCGTACATCATTAATTCTTACGCACATC